CCCTCCCCCTCCCCTCTCCCACCCTGACCCCCTTTCTTTCTCTTCCTCTCCAATTCTCCACCCTGCCCTCCTCTCCTCTCATGGGCCCCCCTTGAGCACAGAGGCAAGATGCCATCGTTGGCGTGTGGGGAGTGGGGACAGCATGGTGCGTTGTGTCCTCATCTCTCTCCTTCTATTGACAGTGATGGCGCGGGCAGGAGCGGCACCTACATCCTGATCGACATGGTTCTCAATAAGATGGCCAAAGGTAAGACTCAGAGCGGGGCTGCTTTGTTGTGGCTCAGAGCCGGATGGGGTTGCCATGGCAACCTCGGTGCAGTAGTCACAGAAAGCCTTGGGGAAAATTAGCCTGTTGTCCCTTTCCTGAGTAGCAGGAAAGCTGTTTGCAGCAAGCACGTTCATTTCTAAGGTTCCTCCTTTGTCATCTCCTCCGCCCGGGGTCGCACACTGGGCTCAACGCACAGTAGGTGATGGGTGAGTGCTCGCTGAGGACGTCCTGTGTTAACATCAGGAGTGAGGAGAAGGCAGCCCTGATCTTTCAGCGTTTCAGCAGCTCAGAATAGCCTTAAACAAATCCTCCCTGTTATTAAAACTATATTTGCAAAATTCAGAGCAACGTAAAGTCTCTTGTAGTGATTGTCTCTAAAATAGGTCACCTTTGGATGCCCCTTTGTAACATCGTTTTAGCCCATGAATCGCTCTCCGTGGTCCTGGGCCTTTCCCTCCTAAAGACAGTGTCCGGGGACTTGGGCTTAGAGTGCTGTGATCTGAGCACAGACCTGGGATGAGTTCATGGCTTGGGTGGAGTTTAACCCATGAGAGTGCAGGGACCAAACGGGGCTGGCAGCTCCCCAAGTGTGGTCCACAGAACAAACCCGTGAGGTGTGCCCTTAGAGGCCAGAGTGCGCTCCATAGTCAAGTGGGAGAAGGTTCTCTCGGACCCGCCTCTAGGAGAAGCACGCCCACATCAGCAGGGCGACCCTGACCTGCCCTGAAAAGGCACTTCCTTGTTCTCGAGATGCCTGTCAGCCTCCAGGGAACTTGGGAAGGAAACAATGCGATTGGTGACGTCTTACAGTCTCCTTCCCACCTGTGAAAACGTCTTCCTCTCTACATTGACACACACGCACGCACACGTGTGTTCTTAGCTAGGGCACCCACCTTCCAGGATGCCCACCCTTCATCCTGTGCCTGGCAATAAGAGCAGACACTGATTACAGAAATGGGTTTCTATACGTTGTCACACAACTGTCAGCAACTCTGAAATAGGCATCTTTCTTACTCCATTTCTCCTGGTTAACAGAAAAACAGAGCACATCTTTAGCCCAAGGATATCGATGTGTGAGGATAAAATAATAGCCATTGTGTTACACGCAAGGACTAGAGAGCTTGAGCATCTTACCAGCCCTACAGCTAGTAAGCGGGGAGGCAGGGCTGCGGGACAGTGGGCGGGGCTCACACCACCAGAGACCGTATGCCCCAAAGTAGCTCCGAGCTGTGATGTGCAAACAAACAACAAAGCAGATGCAAATGCTCTGATGGTGCTTTTAATAACATGTTTTGGCCTTAGATCCAAAAAGCTAACTTTTTTGGCTGAAAGGTCATTTGTTCCCCGTCCAGTAATGCCGCTGTGTCCCATCCACTGTATCTGTCTCTTCATTTGCAAATGCGCCGTCACTACGAGCCTGCAGCCCACAGCGGAATTCCTGCTTCTCCCCCATCCTGCTCCCCTGCCTGCTGTCACATGTAGCGTTTCCCCCTCTATCAAACCAGATGCCTTCCGAGAATGCAGATCCCCTTGCATGTTTGAGGTGCCGCCTTTGTGTGTAAGCAAGTGACACAGGAACCCAATGCATATACACCGTGTGGCATGGCGCCCAGCTCATCCCAAGGACAGGGGCCCCAGCGGTACCGGTACCGGGGCAGGGGGAATACCTGGGTGTCCACCCAGCAGGTGTGAGTGCACCTGGAGCAGGAAAGTGCCGCAGCCCCGGGGGCGGGGCCGACTCCCATCCCGGCTGCCCCCCGCCCCGCCAGCCCCTGGGCCCAAGGTGCCTGCCCCGTCTTGTCAAATCCCACTTGAAGCTCGGCCGCGGCAACAGTGCGAGCCCAGCCATGTGGAACTGGCCTGGGAGGGCGGTCTCCGGGCTCTTTCAGAGATTGGTCACCCCTCATTCTGCCCCTGACCTGCTCCCCTCTGCCCGAGGGCCCGCGCTGTGAAATCCCCTGACCCGGGGCCCAGGCTGCAGTCTCGGGACAGATCAAAGGGCAGGGCGGCCCCTCGGCCTGCGAGGTGGGCCTTTCCCAGGCCGCCCCGGCGAGCGGCCGCCGGGGTTTTGTTCTGGGCCAAGCTCGCGGGGCCGGGCGGCCAGGGCCACCTTTGTCTGGCCTGAGAAGCCGGAGGACCGTGCTGCCGGCCCGCGTTCATCAAATGATCAAAGGCTCTGGGCCTGGACACGAAACCTTTCTTCCCATTCCCTTTTCTTAAAGGAATGAATTGCAGGAGGACCGACGAATGCCTCTCCCAAGCTCTCCTGGCCCTGGGCTCAGAGGCTGGCCGGGGACACTCCGGCAGCCCAGCCAGCCACAGCCTGGAGCCTGGGCCAGGCACACGGGCTTTGGGGAGTAAAGCCTTTGATACAGCAGGGATC